AGATCACAGTGATGTGCCTTCTCCATGGACTGGGCCGTGCCCCAGCACGGGTCCTGCAGCTGTGGTTGTGTGGTCACCAGGGCTCCATCCTGCCCATCACAGCACTGCATGGCTCCGGGCTGCACAGGGCACTGAGGCGGGGCTGTCAGATAGCATAGGCCAGCAAGAGATCTAGGGTGGGAGGTGGTGACAGGTGGGACAGGCCTTGGAAAACAGAGAACAGAGAATGGCACCAGCTTCTGTAAGGGACATGGGACAAGAGAGCTCAGAACTCTGTCCTCACAGTGAAAGGCCACAAATCTGTGTGTGTAGCATAGCAAACTGTGTCCTTGCATGGGAACCTGGGCTCCCAGGGTGCTCCTAACAGCACCGGATCCCTGCATGCTTTCAGAGATGATGCTTTAGGGCTGTTGGGCTTTGCTGACCCACCGTGTCCCTGCCCTGCACTGCAGACCTCCAGATTCTTGGCCTGGAAAACCCTTGCTGGGCTCCACCAGGGATGTGTTCCCCCAAGAAACAGAGTTCTCTGGGATGAACGCCAGCAGGGACCTCGAGAGGATTCCAAGAACAGCCTCCCCCATCCTGCAAAGGAAACAGCTCCAAACAGAAAGTGTCAGCCTCAAACTCCAATTAACAGAGGAGAGGGATGTTTCCACCCCTTCTGTTGGAGATCTCTGTGTGCAAGCACGAAGCAGCAATCCAACCCAGTGGCAACACAGAGCAGGACGTACTGCTGCAGTTTGCCATCAGGGCATCAGCCTTGGGCAGAGGCAGCATACACCAGTCCGGAACTCTCTGACCAGGTGACTTGCATGGAGCTGCTGCTCTCTGCTCCTTGCCTGACACAAGTCCTTTGTCAGCCGCACACGGGTGGCACAGCGCAGGAGAATGACAGAATCACAGCACGGTTGGTTTGGATGGGTCCTGAAAGCCCCCCTCAGCACCACCCCCTGCCATGGGCTGGATGCCCCCCACCAGCTCAGGCTGCCCAGGGCCCCATTCAGCTTGGTCTTGGGCACCTTAACTTGAGGGTGGTCCAGTGGGACGGGCCCAGGTAGTCGGGTGGGACAGGGCTCACCTGCAGGGCAGGTAGGGCGGGGGCGGTGGTCTCCTCGGGCTGGCTAGGGAGAAAGGACCCTGCTTAGAGATGCAGGAATGCAGCGGGCTGAATGCGGCAGGGCGGGTCTGATCTGGTGCCCCACTAAGCCCCCATTCTTTCCCAGCCTGGTGCATCTCGTATTCAGGCTGCCCGCTCCTAAGCAGAGTGTCTTTAATCCTTCCCTTGTCTCCTCCATTCCCTTTCAGGCCCTTGGCCAATGGGAAGGGGATGAGCAGCTCTCTCCAGGAAGGAAATTAAAAGCGGGGAGGAGGTGGGGAGGAGGAGTGCGCGGGGAGGGGGACTTGGACGGGGAGACAATCCTGGAGTGGAGATGCCAGTCATCGGGGTCTCAATAGCCCCATTCACCCTGCCCAGCCACACAGAAAATCAGGGTCACCAGGATCCATGCCCTGCCTGGAGACAACTGTTGCTTTATTCTTTTTAATTGCTGGAAAACGCAGAAAAGTTCACTTGTGTGTGTGGCTGGCTCTGGTGGGGGCTGCGAGGGGGGCGCGAGCGGTGGCGGGGAGGGACGGGTGGGGTGAGGGCGGCACGCAGAGAAGGGGACACAAAAAGCACCGCACGTGAGGGTGGAGGCTGCGACCCGGCGCGGTGCCGGAGCCATCTGCACGGCTGGGGCCACACCGCGGCGGGGACAGCGATGGGGACAGTGATGGGGACAGCGATGGGGACAGCGATGGGGACAGCAATGCTTTGCAGCCAGCTCGCCTGTGGACCACCCTGGGGGCGGGGGGGGGGGGCCCCGGCCACAGCCCCAGCAGAATGACCTGCAGATGCATGCAGGCGGATGGACAGATGTCCTCACGTTGCTGGGTGTGGAGATGCCTGGGTTGATGGTTCTGGCTGGAGACAAACAGCCGGGCATCCGGGCACCCTGACCCAAGGATGCTGAAACACCTTCCAGCCTTGCCACCGCCATCCTGAGACCTTGCTCCATTGCCACCCCAGTCAGATGAGTCACTTCCCTCCCTGGTCCACGACACAGGGCACAAATGCAAATGCTTCCAGATTGATGCTGGATGCACAAGGGGAAATGGAGAGCTTGGTATCACATAGCAGCATCATGCGCTGGGATGGGGCCTGGCAGAAGGAGGCTGAGGGATGAGTGAAACAGCAGAGAGCTGCTACCAGCTGCATAGGAGTGACAGAGGGGTACAGAAGGGAGGTGGGTTATGTAGGGTGAAACCACAAAAGGTAGCAGGGAAAAGTGCATCAAGGAATTCTCGTAGGTGAAAACCCCAGACTGATAACAAAAACGTAAAATTGAGATTGCACATGATGAGAACAGGAAGTTGTGTAGAAGCACAGAGCGAGATCAGAGCTCACGCCAAGCAGGATGGACAACACTCCCAGCATGGCCGGGTCGGCTGCAGGAAATGTGGATGCAGGAAATGTCTCCTGGGTCTGTAATCCACAGCAAAAGATCTGCTCTGGATCTTGAGTGCTTGGGGAACTGCGCTGTACTAAAAAGCACAGCATGGCTGGGTTTAACAGTTTGGGAGGACAGGGAGGGCTCTATGTAAAATCCAGGAACACTACCCCCAAAAAGCACAAATCTCAAGGCCCTAAAGATGGGCTACAGGGTGTTACATGGGGTGTGAGGAGCTTGGGTAAAATGCCACCATTCAAAAGGGAAAAATGAAGTGGTTCAACAACCCTTTCCTGGAGAGTTAAATGGAGGCGCTACAGAAAACACCAATGTTTTGGAAAGAGAAATCTTGCCTAGGAGAGAACAGGGAAGCCCATGAGAACTGTCAGGTCAGCTGGAAAAAGGAGACTAAAAAGCTAAAACCGAATGTACAACAGAAGATGGTTGAAGGATATCCCTTAAAGCACCGAGTCAGAAGGTGGTTAGCCTCAGAACTGGGAGCCACCACTGATCTGATTTCAGATGACTGTTAATGGGCAGAACAGCCAAAAACAATCATCAAAATGCTGTGTGATCAGAAAGGGAACAAGATGGAAAGAGTTTTGACATGTAGGAAACCATGGGTGCTGTGGGCTTGAGTTCCTGTTCACACAGCTGAAGGAAGAGATGAGGAGTCAACTTTCTTCAGACTTGCTCTGGGATAACTGATGAGATGAAGAGCTTGATGGGTGAGAGGAGCCTAGAGAGGCCGAGAGCATCCTGTTAGGACATGGGATGGCAAAGGGCAGATATGACTGCAAAATCATGAGTGATCAGGAATGGTGGACAAAGCGGAGCGTGAGGTTGCAACACTGACTGTAATACTGCAATAGTCCTTGGAGTAAGGAGATGGGCTGAAAACAGAAAAAAAAAGATATAACTTCTTTACATGGAGAGTTTTGAGCTTGCAGGGCTTGTTGCTGGCAGGACCAGAAAAAGACAGGATGAGCCTAGGGACAGCAGGTTTGCAAAGGGACACTGAAAGGATGAGGCCTCCTCAATGCTGAGATTCACAGGGTCTGCTGGGAGCGGGAGAGGAGGGCAGCGCACGCAGTCCCTGCAGACACACAGTTGTACGCCGGATCCCAGCAGCCGCTATCCTGCAGGGCCCGCCTGATGCCAGGAACCGCCGGGGCACTGCGAGACGCCGGCAGGGCCTGCAGGAGAGCGGCCGGATCCGAGCGGAGCAGAAGGAAGGCCGGAGGCAGAGCGGCAGCGCCCGGGGGTTCGGTCCGCAGGAATTTCGTGGCGGCTTCTCCCCGCATTTGGTTTCTGTCCAAACCGAGGCTCTGGCCGCCCCTCCTGCCGGAGGGCAGCCGCCCGCAGCTCCCGCAGGAGCCCCGCGGTCCCGAGCGCTGCCGGAGCGCCCCGCGTCCCGCTGCCCCAACCCGCGGCACGGCGAGCCGACAGGGGCTGCCACCGCCGTCCCTGGCGGTCCCGGAGCGAACGCGACCGCAGCCGCGGGGACAGGGATGGGGCCGGCGGGCGCGTTCTCAGCAGCGCCCGTTTGGCTGGCGGCCGCACCGCTCCCCCATCTCTCCCGGCACGGGGCGGGCGGTCGAGGAGCGGAGCTCCACAGCCCGTACACGGCGGTGACGCTGCCCGCACGGCGGCGCCCGGATCCGCTTCGCTCCACAGCGGGGCATTCCTGGCCGCCGGCTGCCACCTAGCGTCGCCGGCCGGGGACGGGGCGCGGTGCGGGCAGCAGCCGGAGCTGGAGGGCTCCGAGCGCCGCGAGGGCACCCGGCCCTGCCCCGCCCCGAGGGCCCGAGGCCGGAGCCGACACGGCCCGGAGCTTCCCGCCGGGCCCGCCGGCCCCCGGGCAGCACGTCGGCACAGCGGCGCTGCGAGGTGAAAGTCCGTCCGGCTTCTGCCAGCGTGCCCGCAGCCTGGGCCGGCTCTGCAAATATTGGGTTGTGGGCCAGCTGGAAAAGAGGCTCCTGCCCTTTGCTCTGTTTGCCATTTCCTCCGGCTGTTTGGTTTCAGTTAATCATCTTGAGAAGGCAAACAGCAGCGGGGAGGGATGGCGTGTCCTCGCTACCCACACTTGCCCCTCAGGGTGGGTGACACCGGCTCGCCCAGGTGCCTGGGACCTCTGTGAGGGTCTCACCCCGCCTCCAAGAGGGAGCTGGCAGGTGGGCTCTGCCCTGTTCAGCCCCTGCCCCAATACGTGCTGGGGGCTTCTTGATGCTCTGCTGCCTGCAGGTAATGCTGTACCTGCACAGGGCTCTCTGCAGGATCCCGGGGCAGGAGTGTGAATCACAGCATTGCATAAGGCAGACTGGCAGGTGCTGGCCCAGATCTGGAACAGGTGAAGAGAGGAGCTCAGAAGGATGCTCGCCCCTGTGCCCCACAGGCCATGGCGAACCCAGGCCATATAGCGGGCATGCGGGACCAGGAGCTGTGCCCACGCCTCCCAGCCTGGCCCTCCCCAGGTTGGCTGCTCCAGCAGCCCTGCTCTCCATGGTCTGAAGGTCACGCTGCTGCGCACTGGGGACAGTGCAGAGTCCCCGATCCTGCTCAGTAGTGCTCTGAAATTTACAGGCATGATGTTTTGGGGTCTTCTTTCCCTCCTCCTCTTTGCTGTGGCCAGCGGGACGCCCATTGGTGACCAGGATGAGGACATCCAAGTGCAGGAGAATTTTGAGCCTGAGCGGGTAAAGTGGCTTGGCGGTCCCTGGAATTTGGGGGCAGAAGGGATGGGGGAAGTTTTGTTTCACTTTCCTCCCAAAAGGAAGATGATTTCCCATAATGGGCTGTGTGGGGCAGGCCTCCCTTGATGCCAGTCATGGGGACCCAGCCCTTGGAATGGCCTCACCCCAGCAAATACACGGACAGAGCAAACGAGTCCCAGCCTGTTCATCAGCCCAGCCTGAGCTGTGGGGAGATGCAGAGTGTTTACGGGATGCATTCTGCCTGGGAGCAGGCCTGTGGGTCTCCAGCAGGCACCCTGCCTGGCTGTGCACACCCAGCAGCAAGGGTCTGGGCTCTCCTGGGGCACACAGCAGGCATGAGACCCTGCCTGGTGGGCGGAGGACACAGGGACACTGTCTTGAGCTTGGAGACCCCTCTCAGTTCCCAAAGGACTGCCTAGCCCCTATACAAGAAACCAAGGCAGAGAGCAGGAGAAAGAGTTCTGCTAGTGTGAGCATCCATGGGAACAAGTGTTCAGCTTGCTCCTCAGACTGTTTAGATCCAAGCTCGAAAGCCTGGGAAGCCATGTGAGATGGGTGACCATGGAGTTGGAAATCCTACTGAGTGCTGATCACTTTCCTTCAGCAGCTCTTGCCACGACACCCTACACCATAGCTCACCAACTTACTTCCTGGCCACGAGAATGTCGGCTCTGCAGAAAGCTATGGGATGCCCTACCTCAGTGGAGGGATCCCATGGTGGAGTCATCTCTTTTTTTCCCCACAGATGTATGGGAAATGGTATGATGTAGCTGTTGCCACCACCTGCAAGTGGATGAAGAATTACAAGGAGAAGTTCAGCATGGGCACACTGGTGCTGGGCCCTGGCCCCAGCACTGACCAGATCAGTACCATCAGCACCAGGCTGCGGTATGGGCATTGCTGTGGGTGCTCAGGGGTTTCAGGGATCCTACGCCATGGCCAGTTTTGGTGCTCCAGCAAATCATGTTTTTGTTTATCATAAGATAAACAAAAAAGAGGTCATTCCAATCAGATGGTTGTTTTCCTCCTCCCTCCAGGCAAGGTGACTGCAAACGCGTCTCAGGAGAGTACCAGAAAACCGGCACCCCTGGCAAATACACCTACTATAGCCCCAGTAAGTTGGGCTTGCTGCTGGCCTGCTGGGTCCCGAGAGCCACTGTGCAGTCAGGGGGTATGAACCAGGTCTGGACCTCAGAAGATGACACAGCTGGTGGCTGGGAGAGTGGTTCAGGGCAGCAGGGCTCAATGAAGAGGAAGACTCTCCATAGTTCGGGTCATTTCCGACCAAGAAAGCAGAGAGCAAGGTCTTGGGAGGGCTGCTTCTAAGCTGCCTGTGCAGGTACAGGATTATGAGGTATTCCAGCAGATCCCTCCCATCCCCAGGGTTCCAAGATGGGATAAGCACCCCCAGCCATGTTTCAGGAGCGTTGGTGGTATCCCATTATCTGCAACCCTAGGATTCCAGTCTCCTTGACTAACAAGAGGATGGTGAGGTCAGGGTCAGGGTTGTGCCCAGGTCAGTAGCTGCCTCCCAGTAATCTGACAGTTTCTTGAATTAGCTGCCTGATTTCACTCCCCAGTTTTGGGACTGCCTTCTACACCCCTGTTCCTCCCTAAGGGTAGCAATGATGTCCTTTGTATCTCTTTCTCACCCAGAGTGGGATGTGTCTATCAAGTCCTACGTGCTTCGCACCAACTATGAAGAATACGCGGTCATTCTGATGAAGAAGACAAGTAATTTTGGCCCAACCACCACACTGAAGCTGTATGGTATGTCTGCTGTGGCACTGTGGGCAAGCAAACTCTGGGGTGGGCTCAGTAACACTGCTCTATGGCTCTGGAGCTGGTGCCTTCAGTCAACTCTGGCATCAAATGAGGTGGAGTTTTACGGCTCAGCTTAGAGACATATCATACCATGAACATTGAGAGCAGACTGTTGTTTGAGATGAACACAATTTGTGTGGGAGAAACTCAGATCTGGAAGCAGCAGACACCAGCTGACAGTCCTTTCCTTGCCGTCACCCAGGGAGAAGCCCAGAGCTGCGGGAAGAGCTCACCGAGGCTTTCCAGCAGCTGGCTCTGGAGATGGGCATCCCTGCAGATTCCATCTTCATCCTGGCCAACAAAGGTAACCTGTGTGCGGTGTGCACCTCTCCTGCTGCCTGTGTCCTCAGTGTGACAGTGTGCTGAGGCTGTTCCTTCTTGGTACACAGGGGTGAGGAGAAGAGACAGCCAGGATGGAGGGAGGACAAACGAGGGCTTTGCTGGGACGGGGTAGGAAGGGGATGAGGCTAAGAATCAGCCAGGCTTCCACTAGCACCCAGTTTTCTGCAATATCCAGGGTAGTTGGTGGGATTCTTTCTAGGCTGTCAGGTTGATGCAACCCAACATGGCTGTTCTGGAGCCATTCATATATCTGGAGCAGGATACTGCAGGAACACCCACAGCTTCTCCCCATGGCTGTGGACTCCTAGGATGTGATGGGTGCCTTGCTCAACAGGGAGTGACAGCAAATGCTTGATGCAGATAGGCATGGGGATTTTAGGGTAGTACTTCTGAGAGCAGGAGGTAGAGAACTGCAAGAGTGGGTGTTAGGGTGAAGCCAGGAGGGAACCCCTTCCTGAAGGACCTGTAAGAGCACAGTGTAGGGCCATGGTGAGAGGACTTTGTTGAAAAGCCACCACTCTCAAGCTTCTGACCTTCTCTCTTGTCATCTGGGCTAGGTGAATGTGTCCCACAGGAGACTGTCGCTGCCCCTGAGGTGAGTGATCCAGCTTGAACCTTCTGAGATGGATCAAGACTGGGGATGGGGTTTGCCAGAGAGGATGGAACACAGGCTGCAGGGATGAGAGTCCTGAGTGCTTCAGGTGGCACCAAGGCTCACTTCCAAGTGGAAGGCAGTGTCTCTTTCCTGTTCTGATTCTTTCACGGGGTAGATTCCTGTACAGGGAGCCTGGTGTCTCCTTACCCCTTGCCTGCCCATGAGTGCTCCAGCTGGGCTGGGGATTCCCCTCTGTGGTGGGGGAGGCAGCTCACTGCCTTGCTGATGCTCTGGCTGCTGTCACCCAGCGTGTCCCAGTCTCATTGTGTTGAGTTTAGAAGGATTTTCAAGAGGAGACGGAACTTTGTAAGAGAAACAGCACAGTTCAGGGCAGATATAATACGTGGAGGATGCACACTATGTATGAGTGTGAGGAGAGATGCATGCTGAGCCCAGCACAGGGCATGGCTGTTGCACTTTGAGTGTCATCATCCAAAATGTTTGATTCTAGTCCCCGCCTGGGATCAGTACAGGGCTGGGAACGCCATGAGGCGTGGAGTGACCATGGCCTGCTGACCGCAGGCAGATGTCTGGAGACACGTGGGGGCACCAGGGAAGTGGGGTTGGCATGGCTGATGGCAGCTGTCTGTTTCCTCCTGGAGCAGAGAGCACGGAGAGCAGTGCTGCCACCCGAGGAGGGCTCAGCTGCAGGCCCTCTGCCCACGTATGTTGGCAACAAAGAAGGTGGGTCCTGGTGGAGGGGCTGCGGTGGGTCCCATGCCCCCATCGCCCACTCCAACCCGCGTTGCTCTCACCTGCAGACGCGTGCCGGCTGAACCGGGACCCGGGGCCCTGCAGCGGGATGCTCTCCCGCTTCTTCTACAACACCTCCTCCATGGCTTGCGAGACTTTCCTCTATGGCGGCTGCCTGGGCAACGGCAACAACTTCTACTCAGAGAAGGAGTGCCTGCAGGCCTGCCGGACCGAGGGTGAGTGGGAATGGGGCCACACCAGGGCGAGGGGACAAGAGCTGCAGAAGGAACTGCGGCTGGCCCCGAGCCCTGTGTGTGCAGCACAGGATCCCGGTTCTGCCAGCCTTCTACAGTCTCCTCTCCCCACAGCTGCCTGCAGGCTGCCCATTGCCCAGGGGCCCTGCCAGAAACCAGTGATACGCTGGGCCTTTGATGCTGCTCAGGGCAAGTGCATCAGGTTCAGCTATGGAGGCTGCAAAGGCAATGGGAACAAGTTCTACTCAGAGAAGGAGTGCAAGGAATACTGCGGGGCTCCTCCACAGGCAGGTATGGCTTATTGCTGCACTGGGGACCAGGCAGGCGCTGCTTGTGCATCCCATCCTGCTTGAGGCTGTGTCCCTGTGCTGGGCATTCCTGCAGCTGTGGTTGGTCCATCCTGGGCCAGAGACTTTGATGGATTGAGAAAAAAAGATTGTTAATCTACAGCAACATCACATATAGGGACTGTATGAGCTACAAATGCACCAAGGCCAGGACTATACTTCAAAATGCTCACGATAACAGGGGGGAAGGCGGTAAGCAGGGCAGAGCACAGCAGGGAGCAGTGGAGGTGTCAACAGGAGGAGCAGCTGAAAGATTTGGAGGCATTAGGAATCCTGACACTGGATAGGGACCAAACAGGGGAACCCGCTTGGGATGAACTCTCCATGATTGTATGATCACCCTCCAGCTTTAGTCAGCACAGAAGTTTTCTCTTTGTGAGGTTCAATGGCACTGCTCTGCCCCCAGGATGGATGGACAAGCAATCTCATTTTCATCAATGTAGCAGGGAAGATTTTACTGCAGAGAGTGATTAGCTACAGCCCTGGGTGAACCTGGTCTTGATGTGGCAAGTGGAGCTGGTAGCCCAAGAGGTGGGAGATGGGGACAAAGTAAGGGGTCATGGAGCAGAATCTGTTTTCTATTATCCTGCTGCCAGTTTGAAGTGCAATAATGCCACTATGGTGGGACATGAAGTGACATCTCAGGACAGCAAGGGGATGTGCAAAGGGTCTGAACCACTTTCCCTATCACTGCCAATCAGGACAAAGCAGGAAGCATCAGCCATCACCTGTTCGCGGGGTATGAGTGGGGGTGAGGGTGGTGTCTGTGGGTCTGTCTGTCACACTGCACACTGTTCTGCTTGCAGAGGATGAGGAGTTTCTGCGTCTGTCAAACTGACAAGGGTGAAGGACGAACACTGAGCACAGGAGCTGGGGCCTCACAGGAGCTCCTGCCTGTACAGGAATTATCTCCAACAATAAATGTCTCTGAAGTGACCAATGAGCCCACTGTCCATCCCAGAGCTGGCAGGGAGCTGGGCAGGGGGCTCCAGGAGAGGCAGGAGATGCTGTTGAGTCACTGCTGGCCTCCCTGGTGGGGGTCCCTCCTGTCCTGAGCCCCTGCCAATATCTCAGCCCCAACCATCCTGCTGGATGTGCGTCCTGGGTCAGCTGGGAAGGGGCAGTGAAGGGGGACAGGCACCCGCTTCTCTTTGAGGGTGAATAATCCGTGCTGCACCACTGTCACATTGGGCAGGGCACAGTGGGACCCTGGAGCTCTGCATCGAGGCTCAGTGCTACACGGCCTCAGGCCCATCCCACAGGTGTGAGTGCCTCAGTGCCTTCCAGTCCTGCTCCCCCAGACGATACGGGCTCCCCTGGAGCTCTGATGGGGAGCCCAGCAATGCGGGGCTCAGAGCCCCCACAGCACCTCGGGCCTCAGCTGGAGCCCACGGTGCCAGCTGGGAAAGGGAGGTGGGGGGCACAGGGGCTGAGGGGTCACGGGGCGGGAGAGACAACAAGGGGTGTGGAGAGGGAGGAGCATCCCAAAGGGGTGATGGGAGCGGATTTGGGGGTCGGAGCAAGCTGCGGGGTGAGGGGGGCACGGGACTGCGGGCTTGGGGGCCACAGGCTGCCGGGGGGGTCACAAAACGGAACTTCGGGGGCATGTGGGTGTGACGGCGAAGCCCTGGGGTCAGAAGAGAGGGCTAAAGGGGCTGCGATGGCTCTGCGGGATGTGGTGCTCGAGGCCCGCCCCCTGCCGCCGCTCCGCGTCCCGCCGTCTTTTGGCCCCTGGCGGATTCCGTAGCGGCGCCGCGCGCTCTCCGTCTCTCGCGGCGAAGCAGAAGAGGCAAGATGGCGGCGGCGGCGGGAGCTGCGCGCCCGGCCCTGAGCGGCGCCCGGCGAGGCTGAGCCGCTCCCCGACCCTCCGCGCCACCGCCGCCCGCAGGAGCCGCCCGCCGCGGGCCATGCCCGGTTAGCGCTCCGTCCCGGTATACGGCGGGGCTCAGCCGATCCCCTTCCCCGCCGCGCCGCCCCGCGCCCCGTTGGCACCCCATGGCCCTGCCCCGGCTCTGAGCGCCGCCCGGCCCTATGGTCCCCGCGGGGCCGCGCTGCCCCTGAGCCCGCGGCGGCGGCGGCCCTTTTCCTGTAGCGGCGGCGAAGGCGCGGGAGTGGAACGATGTTCTCGGCGCTGAAGAAGCTGGTGGGCTCGGACCAGGCGGCGGTCCGAGACAAGAACATCCCCGCGGGGCTGCAGTCCATGAACCAAGCTCTGCAGAGGAGGTTCGCCAAAGGAGTCCAGTACAACAGTGAGTCCCGGCCCGGGGCGCCGCCTCCGCTCCCGTTATTGCCGTGCGGCTCCGTGCTGGGGCGGGCCGGGGGCTGCGAGCGGTGTGCAGGGGGTTGCGGTGCGGCCGCGTCGCTGTGGCACCGGGCAGAGTTCTTTGTGAATGGATTGATGTCACTTCGGGTGTGGGGGAATAACTGCCCAGGGCGGGTGAGTGCCCTTCCCGCAGCACGCTGTCCTTGCTCCGGTGGTTGTGTGATAAGGGTCTGTGCCCTGCCACGGCTTAGCAGCAGGTGAGTTCTGTGTGCCTTTATGCGTCTTTGGCAGGTAGTGCCGTTCTGGTTATCTGTCTCTGTACCTGATGCAGCTGGCTCAGAGTTGTGTTTTTCTCCCTGGGGCTCAGTAAAGTATGAAAAAAGTAAAGTAAATTATTCCTAATACATTTCAGGAAGGCGCTGCAAATATGTGAATCCATCTTCAAGTAACAATAGCGAGACAGGGTCAGTAGTTACACCATCCCAGCTGAAGATAGAGCTGTGAGCAGGAACACTGTGAGGATCAGCTCGCTTGTGTGGGATCAGGCACACAGCAGCAGCTGCAGGCAGCTGAGATTGGCAGCTCAGAACAGGGCCACTCTGAGCACAGTGCTGAGCATTCCTGTGCCCGCAGACACATTGGAGGAACAGATGTGAAGGTAGAGGTTAGCAGGGCAGGGCCTGGCTTGAGTTTTTTTGTTTTTTTTTTTCTTCTTTTTTTAGTGTTATCACCCTTGAGTGTTTTTTTGAACTGAGAGATTTTAGGAGCTTGCAGCTTTACTGGGGAGAGCATTTGGCGCATTTAACCAGAGCACGTTTGTTAGATATGCCGACAGTATTTTAATTTAGGAAAGTAGCAACTTAGCAAGCAGTCATAAATATGAGCAGAAGCATGTTGTTTCTGCTGACAGATGAGTGGTGAGGCTGCAACTGTTGTACCTTGACACACAGCACTGCACCATCAGACACATACCTGGAGATCTCCTGCCTGAGGTCCGTCCATCTCTGCAGAGTTGTAGCAGTGCCCACAGAGCAGAGCGCAGCCATGTGCTTCAGTGTTACATGGGTGAGCTCGGGTAGCTTCTATCCGCTTGTGAATTATGTAAGAGAAGGGAGCTGGTGTTCCAGACAGTGAGTGAGTGTGCCGTGCAGATCAGCTGCATCCTGCTGGCACAGCAGCAGAAAGGGACAGCCCTTTGCTGGGTGGTGACTAACTGTGTCGTCACCTAACCTGTGTGCATGCCTACCTGCTTGTCATTTGTAGAGCAGGACCAAAATTGCAAACAGCTGAGCTTTGTTGTTTTTTGTCTCGTTAGCGAAAGCCTTTGGAGAAGCTTTCTGTTTTGAGCACTGCCTTGTCAGGATCTGTGTTCTAATTATTGCTGTTATATCAGGAATAAAGCTGCATCTTTCTGTCCTGCCGTAAGGGAAGCTTTCCAATCTCCATAGTAACTCTTCCCAGTATCACTGTTATATAACGGTTGTAGGAGATACAGGCAGGGTTATGAAAGAGTTTTGAAGCACCCTCCTAGCCACAGCACTGGGAAATAAGGAGGGTTCTGAGCTGAGCTTAGGCTGGCAGAGGTTGGCATGACAAGCCATTGCTAAGGGAAGGGCAGAGCTGCATATCCCAGTGCTATCAGTGTGCCTTCATTAGGAAATACATGAAAATGAACAGAGGGTTGTGGAATGCATTTTGTAGTCTTCAACACAGATCTTTACAACTCTTCCTTTTCCCCATAACTCTAATCCAAAGGATGCTATCATGAGTAGTTCTACAGAAATGTTTCTGTGCTTTTACAGTCCATTATTGTGAACTGAAGCCTGTTTCACAGAACTGTAGGGGTAAGAAGGGACCCTCTGGAGGTCATCGAGTCCACCCCCATTGCAAGGAGGCCCCCTACAGCAGGCTGCACAGCTCAGCATCCAGATGGGTCTTGAATATCTCCAGAGAAGGAGACTCCACAACCTCCCCGTGCAGCCTGTTCCAGTGCTCTGTCACCTCACTGTGAAGAAATTCCTTCACGTATTGGTGCAGAGCTTCCTGTGCTCTGGTTTATGGCTGTTTCCCCTGGTGCTGTCCCCACTGACCACTGAAAAGAGGCTGGCCGTGTCCCTTTGTCTCGCTCTTAAGATATTTGTAAACATCTCTATATAGAAATATATGTAATGTGCTGAGAATGCTTCGGGTTGCTTGCTGATGAAAGTGGCAGTGCGTGGGCAGGATGGGGCCTTATCGCGTGGTGCGCAGCGCCTGGCTGGGGGTTCAGAGCAGGCCAGGCTGTGCCAGCTTAGTGGCTGTCAGGTACGTATCATAACTGGACAGCACATCAACAGGTTTGTGTTGCTGGTGTCCCTCCCACTCGAGTAAGTTTTCAAAAGGAAGAAAGTTGCAGGATAGAAGGTTTTAGATTTCTGGTAAGAGCAAAGGCTGCTAACAGCTTTGGCAGCAGCTGCTTCACAAACATGATGTTTTGAAACGTAGGTGCTTTCGTTCACAGATCACACACTCCTTATTCCTTCTCATTATCATTCGGATGGAGCTCTTCTGTTTTATTCACCATGGCCCAAATAACAGCACAGTTCCCAAAGCACTGTGGAAGGTACAGAGAAACCACAAACGCTGTCTGGGTCTGAACCAATCTCTGTAGCTCAGGTGTTTGTGTCTTTGTAAAAACTTGCTGCTTTTGTAAAAACTTGAATCAGCTGCATCACTGTTCAGCAGGTGGGTTTGGTGGGGAGAGGAAGAGGTGGTGGCTTAAGCACCTTACAGGACAAATTATAGACAGAGTTACCAGTAGCAGGTTATTCAAACGTGAAGGTCAGTGATGGCCAAGGTGAAATGAACGGCTCTGGCTGGGTGACACAGATAAGAGGGTTTCCTGGGAGCTACCACTGCTCAGTGATGGGAGCAAAAGATGTGGAAGTGCAGAAGTTTCAGATCCAGTGCTCCCGTTCCCCAGAACGCAGCATGCCTTCTGCACTGAGCTTTACTCTGGAAGCTGTGTCCCGTGTGCACGCAGCCAGCAGAACCACCGCTGTGTGTGCCTGGGGCTCAGGCTGCCACGCCTTGGTGTGCATCAGCCCGCTCCAAACGTTCAGCACGGCTGAACTGCTACTACTGCTGAAGTGAGTAGTTCCAGGAATTCTTACTGCTTTTCTTCCTAAAATGTGCTTCAAGAAAAAAAACAAACTTAAGGAATAGTGCATGTTCTTTTTGTGAGCATCGCAGTCCTTCCTTTGTGTTGTTCTAAGTGTTACTTCCTGGCTTCTGATTGTAGCTTTGTTAAATATTTACCTTCTGCACCGCTTCCCAAGGAAGCACCTTCCCCTTCCTGCCACATCCCACCTCCTCTCCCACCTCCATCTGCAGGTGCCCGGTGTTGTGCACTGTGTGGCACACTGCTTTGCTGGTGGTTGGACTGTTCCCCATGGAATTGTGCTTGAGCACTTCTGCACATCACATCTTGCTTCTTGCAGCAACACCAGCTTTTGGTGTTTGAATGGCCTTGTAGTCCCAGTCTCAAACACTTTAATGAGGATAATGCTGTGATACGGGATTATTAGCAGAGATGTTCAGAAATCTTTGCTGTGGAATCTATGCTTCTCAGCTGGTCAGCATCCTCAGCAGTGCTGGGCATTCTGGGTGTCTGGTTCTGAGTTGGTCGCAGGCC